TGTGGTTTAGTTTTTCTTGCAGAATACATAAAGCTAGAGGGGCCGAATCATTGAATCAAAGCCTACACTGAAAAAAAAAAAAAAAATCTCGATGTATTTACTAAGAAAAGGGTAAAATTACCAAGAATTCAGGGTTCTATTTGATCCCAGTTTTTTCTTGGCAAAATTACCATTTATGGAATTGGTAATTTTACCGAGAAATCTCGGTTAAATTATTGAACTTTTTCGGTAATTTTTACTGGACCTTGGTTAAAACGCCAATATTTTTTATCGACTGTGGTAGAATTACCGAGATAAAATGGTAAAGTTACCGGTAATTTTTATTTATTACCAATAAAAGTGGTGTTCTTACCTGAAAAAAAAGCAGTAAAAATGCCGGTTTTTAGGTAAGTTTACCAGTCCGTCTTGGTAAAATTACCAACAATTGGTAAAAAAAGTGGGATGGTAAAAGTACCAACGGACCTTGGTAAAAATGCCGTAAATTTTTTTTCAGTGTAGTTCTGTGGCCACAGGGCTTTTCAAAAATGATTAGAGCGGGCGTTTCAAGAGGTCAGGTCTGTAAAAGTGACCTGAAGAATTTTTAAAATGTTGAAAATTGATTAAACTTCATCAATTGCTCTAAAAATTCAAACGAGCTTACCTCTGTGGAATTCCGTAAAAAAGGCCAAAAGAGACCCCTTATTTACTTCAAAATTTTTGATTTACATATCTGATCGGACTTTTCCCAACTCTCAAGAGCGGAAAAAATACAAGCATGTTGAGATGCACGCTCGAATTTCATCTAAAATGACCATATAACGACTTTGCTGGATTCGTCGTTCTTAGATTAGAGAAGAGAGGGACCGCAATCCATATTTTAGGACACCAACGTTGTTAAATATTTAAATAATTAAAGTATTATTCGGAAAATTGACAATGTCGCGATTAAAATCAGCATTAGTTCATTTCATCCTCTCTTCAGACAACGCTGGAATTAAGTTACAATGGAACACTGGAAAAAAAAAAAAAAAAAAAAAAAAAAAAAAAAAAACATTGGATCTAGAGTCCAGACTCTTGAAAACATTGACAAGAAAAAGGACTCTTGATTCAATCAGATTTAAGCTTAAATCAAGAACCAAGCCTCTTAATTTGAGCGGATTTTCTTTTGATTTAAGCTTAAATCTGATTGAATCAAGAGTCCTTTTTCTTGTCAATTTTTTCAAGAGTCTGGACTCTAGATTCGCAATGTTTTTTTTCCCCAGTGAAGAAAAACAAGCAAAATCAGTGCCCTTTAGTGTTGAATGCGACGAACTTTCAACTCCCGGATGCAACTATTCGGGCTCCATGGATGTCCGTGTTGCATACGCACAAAGTGGAAGGCGTTTTGACTGTCTAGGCACTCGCCACTTCACCTGACGACCCCAACGATGGGCCTTACCATGCGAGGATTCAAAATAGCAGAGTGCTTCCAATGAATTATTCGTCCATATCCATACCACAAAGATATCTCCTGCGTGAATAGTTGCATACCAGCGTACGATGTGAGTATCTTTTGCGCCTCACAATCAGTTTTGATGTCGGGATCGCTGAGCATGATTTGCGGAGCAACTTTTCATGTCTTATAGTTGTCTTCGATGTATAATGAAGTATTGAAGATAATCTGTCATTTCAGATCCTCAACGCACTATGAAACGAGCCTTTCAGAGAGGTTGAACATGGAATGGTCGACTAAAACTGTAAATTTTGATGACAACTTCTTCATATTATGATTACTCAAGTAGCACAGTGCAACGAAAATATTGAAATTAAATTGCAATTTGATTTCAATACAATGGTAATTTGTTTACCATTAAATTGCAATGATTTTACATCTTTTAGCCAATTTATGCCGAATTTAAAAATAAAAAAATTAGCTCCATGTGTCAGAAAAATAGGTCACTTGCAATGCTATAAAAATTGCAACTTATTATCAATTTTATTGTAATTAGTTTCAATAAATGTGGCCCCTTCTAATAGGAGCTAGGCAGCATACTTAACACTCAGTTGAATTGCAATATTTTTACTATGTAATTGCTACTTATTGGAATCTGTGCTACTTGGGTAATTTTTATGCGGTGCTCCTTGGAAGATATACTGCAAGAATGAAACCGCTCCTGAAACCTCTACGTTCCAAATTAACATCGATATGAGCTTTTAATGTTTCCAATTTTTGTATGGTTCCTCTCATTGACTCGCTCCACTCAGCGGCGCGAGGGGGTTTGTGTCTGAAGTCAAAACGCCTTCACTTGCGTGCGTATGCAACACGGACATCTATAAAGTTCGAATAGTTGCATCCAGGCGCTATAATGAAATTCGTTTAGTTTCCGATGCATGCGACACCAAGTGGAGCTTTGATTGTTTCTCTTTACTCCTTAACTTAATTCCAGCGTTGCCTATCGTGCCGATGGAGAATATTATTAATGATTTTTATCGTGGCATTGTCAATTTTCCGAGAAATGCATTGTTTAAATGTATTACAGCGTCTCTACGGTCCTCGAAATCTCAATAGAATCATGTATCTGAGCATGTGTAAAGTTTCCTATAACCTTACTTTAAAGAGTCGTCTTTTGTTTTGATTTTTTTATGTTTATTTTCCCTTTGGGAAAACTAACTTTGAGCTTTAAGTGCGAAATCTTCAAGGAACAATCCTGATGATTCACACGGAATTTGGAATGAAAACGATGACCATTCGTTTTTCGAATAAATTAAATGCAACAAGAAAGTTGTAACATTACAAGCCTACATACACTCACATGATTTCCTAGGTTTAACTGCAAAACTATGGCACAAAAAAGACCAGCGATTATAGTAGAATGAAAATCATATTATGTTCAGGGCCGGATTTAGAGGGTGGCCACATGGGCCGCGGCCCATGGCGGCAAATCTAGGTGGCGGCAAATTTTGCAATATATAAAAAAAAATCGTATTTGGATAAAAAATTACAAACGAGAAAAGGCGACAGAATCTCTCGTCTTCTGAGAGGATAGTAATCTCGAATTGTGTCATCTATCAGTGATACAGGACAGCACCTTTAATTAGTCGAGTTAATATCGACGGTGAAACTATCAAACCACGTATCTCGGTTTGCGACGTCGCAGACTTCCTGTCATACTTTATTTTTTAAATGAAAAACTACTTAACGTCCAGTCTTGAAAATTTCTGTGATTTTTCCTCTTCGTGCGGAGAAAATTCTGTGAAAATTTCAAGGAATGATATTGATTTGGTCTATCTCAAAAAAATAAAATGCGAGCGTAGATTTTTAAACACCGCAAACGAGATACGTGGTTTGGTAGTTTCACCGTCGATATAGAGTAACCAAACAAGTAATTTGGCCTGGAACGGCGCGGTTTAGAGAGAAATGATGACGAGGACTTGAGATGAGTAGGAGAAGCCCTAGGCGCGGTAGTCGGCATGTAACATATACTACCGCCAACGAGACTGGATGAATACTTCACGCATTGCATCAAACACAGTGCGTTCAACAGCGGTCAGCGTGAAACGCATAGCGCCTACAAGACCGCGTGAATACTTCACGCGTTGCGTCCAACACAGTGCGTTCGGAAGCGATCGGCGTGAAACGCATAGCGCCTACAAGACTGTCGGAATACTTCACGCATTGCGCCAATCACAGTGCGGTCTGCGCGGCGCGGCGGAGGAAGTTAAAGTCACTAAACCACACATGTTTGTTATTTCATAATTTTTTCGTTCCTTCTCTACGAATGGAAGGCCTTGTCTACACAGAAATAGGTATACGGAACTTAACTTTTGCGCAAAGTTCCGTGAAATTGTGTTAGTATTGTTGACAGGGCTTTCCCAAAAAATGTGTCCAACACGAGTTAACGTGTTTTATGCATCCCTTCCCCTCCGGCACGTTCACTTGATGGTTTTTATTGTTGGTTCAAAACAAATGAGAAGGGGGCGGCAAAATACAGGCGGCTCATGGGCGGCAAGTAGGTAAATCTGGCCCTGATTATGTTCTCATACTTCCTTCTAAGAATGTGGGCTGCATCTAGTTTGCATTAGGTAAAGTTTGTTTGCGATTTTTTTAAAAAAATGTTTACAACGTTTCCAAATTTTGACGAGAACATAGGAAACAGCACTCCGTCGAAACACCAATCTCATCTTCTTTTTTTTACCAACCGGGAATAATACAAATTATACCGGATTAGTTGGTAAAAACAAGAAAACTCCTTATGCAAGAGAGAAAAAATTGATTGAGGATTTTTTTTTTTTTTTTGAGATGTCTAGGTAGTGCTTCAATTTGTACACATCTAACCATTCTTTCAGAACCTTAAGCAGAGTTCCAAGTTAAGTTGGTTTCGCGGAGTGGCAGAGCAGGACCCTCTTTAACGCTCATTCATTTTGAGGTATTTTTATTAGCTGTCACGCGAGAACTCCGCCGACGAACAAGGAAAAACTGAAAAAATAGTTTTCTCTTTCACCTCCCTGCACTATCATTTCCTGGGCTGGTTAACAGGAAGGAGGGGGACACAGAGCCGCCCATTAAATTTTGTCCCCCCCCCCCCCCCCCCCCCCCCCCCCC